AATTATTCAGAGATAACAGTATCCAGATTCCTTAATATGGAATATTAATACTTAATACTGGCACTCTCTGTTTGCATAAGATGCAAGACAGTAGCTGGACCAACTTCACCTCTTTTCACTATGATGGGAGGGTACAATGGCCAATTATATCACGTGTTATAAATTGATAAATAAATTAAGGAAATGGGATATTTTCTGTGAGACAAAATCTCCCAGCATTTGCAAAACTGGAAAAGGTCTGCAGACAGCTATGCATATTTTGGATAAGATTTAGGGCCCTGACTTTTCCCTGCCTGGAAATCAAGCATGCAGAAAGACCCACCCCCCCAGTAAATCATGCGCCACAAAAACACACACAGGCCAACTGCACTGCACAGTCAGTCCAGAAGGAAAAGGTCCGTGACTGACACCAGGCCATGGGCTAGCTACTCGACTCACCAGACAAGCCACAAAGCAGTTAGATAATACAACAGAGCCTGTTGCAGGAGGATGGGTGGGTCTTTGATAGGCTGGTATCTACCCCATCAACTGCCTTTATCTGGGTGTGGTGCAATTAGAGAGCTCCTCTTTCTCCATAGCTGTTTCTCTTGTACTAAAACTTCTGCCTCACACTTGGTCACATCACAAACCTGGCAAAGCCTTCTTCATTTCTGACTGTTTCAGGGAGAGGTCTGATGAGGCTTGACTTGTTGACAATTACGCAAAATGTACTCCACTGCTGGATTCAGCACCCTGTTGTTTATGTTGCAGAAATGAGCTTTTTATGACTAATCTGGTACATTTCTTAGTTGCTTTATCAATATTTCTTGGAAGTCCTCTGAAGCTGGAGTCACCATATGACTCCTGATGACTCTATCTGTAGCTGTAACTTCTACATAAATGCTTTAACCCTAATTCCTCTGAACTTACCTGGACTACTTATTTGAGATACAGGCTCTTGCCTTTCAGCAAGGCATTTATAGGATGGCACAGCCAGCCTGCTGACTAACTAAAACAATTTGCACGTATTAGGCCAAAAATAGCCTGCATAGTATAGGTTATGAACCACAAAACCTACAGAACCTGGTACACAGGCACTTCTCAGTGTGTGCACCCCTTTCTTGGGGGTCTGGATACCCAGTGTAATATCACACAGAGGTGGTGCCAACCCAAGCAAGAAACCTGAATGTATTCCTTATCACCACTACTGCTTTTCAGAAAGTTATAATCCTTAAGAATTACTAATTTATACTGTACGTATGTCAAAAAGCATTAGCCATGTTTGCTGGTAATCTTTAAATGCCTTTACAGCTGGGCAGCATACACAAAAATACATGAGAGCTGGGCCAAAACCACCACTGTCAGATGTATAAAATGAGAAAACACAGTTGTACAAGTGTAGTAGCATTTCACTTCCCTTTCTATGACCATCTCAGAAAAGCTACATGCACGAAGGAGTAGTCACATCATATCCATGGAGCCCATCCTGCCCAGGATGTTGTCTCATAGTAGTCAAAAGCTGATAGAAGTCCAAAAGCTTGGAAAAAGAAGAACAAGTACTCTTGAACACCTTCTCCACATATCCTTTCCAGTTCCAATGCTTAGAAGTTTCCAAAGACAGGTTACAAATGTCTGTTTCTTATAAAATTTTGAGTCCTTTCATCCAGTCATTTTTGGACCTACATAAGCTTTCTGACATGCAGAGACTTGGGGGGGTGGGGGCAGGGGGGGCAACATGCTACAGCTCACCTGAGCATAGCAGCATAGTATAAAAATTCACTTTCTTATATTTGCTTTCAATCTTTTGTCTCCCAGTGTGACTCAACTGTTTTATTTGCCTGTCTGAAAGAAGCAAGCAGCTCTTTCTTGTTTATCACCTCCAGCTGCAAGTTTACCTACCATCTCTATCCCTCAGTTGTTTCTTTCACCAGCAAGCAAATGCAAAGGATTACTACTAAGGAAATATATGCAAAAAGGCTACTATTAAGGAAACATGCCTATCTCAAAATGAAAGAAGTTGGTTTATGGATTAGATATTTGGAAGGAGTAAGAGGATGTTCAGTGGAGCAGATCCTCAGGTGGGACACAGTGGAGGTTCCCTGTAAAGTCTTGTTTTTCCAAGCCTTACTCTGGCATTAATTATTCTGTTCACCCAATAATCAGGGACAAGAAGCTACCATCTCTCTTCCAGGAAAAAAAAAAAAAAAAAGTTTTGACAGATTCTTGCTATTGTTGCTTTCCATTTCCTCACATGGAAAAAGAACCTCTTTCCGTACTAAAGAAATGACTAAGTGCACTTGGCAAATTTGAACACAGCTACATGAACGTTTTGAACAATTTACGGAGAAGCGAAAAAAAGCAAACATCACCGCAACCCCGATTCCTCTTGCCGAACCTTACTCTAAGTTGGTGTAACTGTTGCTTCTAGAGACGGGCTTATGAGGCTACAACATCTGGGCACGCCGCCTGCCACCCGGGCTGCGGGCAGGTGTGTGCCCCAGCTGCGGACACCCGCACCCTGTTACCGAGACGCAAAATCCCCCCGTAACTAACTTTTAAGACAAACGGCATCTTCTTACCGGAGCTCTCCCGCAGCACCAGCACCGACCCTCCTNGTGCCCGCCAGCACCTGGGAGCGGGAGAAACCCGCCGCCTCCACGCCGCCCCTCCGGCAAACGCGGCACCGACTTCCCCACGGCTGCCCCTCGGGCTCGGAGCGGCCGAGGAGCTCCCCAAACAGCACGGCCGGCTCGACCGGGCGGCAGAACAGCGCTGAGGCTGGGGCTGGGGAACAGCCTTGTCCTTGTCCTTTGCTCGGCTGCCCCGGGAGCGCACAGCCGTGAAGAAGGACGGATGGGCTGCTGCGGTCCCGGGGCGGGTGGGTACGAGGCGCGGCGATAGCTGCAGCGCTGAAATAATAAGCTGCAGCCTGGCGTTAAGCCTCTGCTTTCTAGCCGGTTGGTTGGGGACGTTTTATTATTTTTATTTAGCAGTGAAATAAGTTGCCGCTGTTCTGGAATACTGCAGCTCCCCAACCACTTCCAGGCTAAGGCTAGTGTTTTAAAGTCAGGCCGAGCTGTTGGCTCCGCTTGCAGGGAGCGTCGGCCCCTGGTGCACCGGCTCGGTGAGAAACGTGGAAGACGCCACCACACCGGAGAGCATCTGTCCGCTGCTGTAGCGCTGGCCGGGCAGCTGGGCACCGCTGAGACAGCTCGGCTCAAGGCTGGTAATTGCATAAGCCACTGTGACCGAGTTACATGTAACTGGGTGTTTGAGCTCTCACCACAGAAATGTCTAAGTGAAATCAAAAGGCCACAGATGCTGGAAAACTCACCTGTGGGTTACTCTGATACAGCAGTATTGGTGTAAGTGGTAAAACCTCCTATCACAGACAAAGTTTATTAGTAAAAACAAACACCCCAACAAAAAAACCCACATCCATAACTCAGAACAACCTATAGATACAAAAATCACATGAAAGTTCTTTGAATCCTGTTCCAAAGTCCCATTCTTTAGAAATGTTTTACTCCCTTCCTGCGTCATGTTTTTCTTGATATGGCCAGTAACTTAGCAGTTCAAATTTCAGATCACCTACATCATTTCCTACCCAACTAGTTAACTGACTACTGGTGATAAGAAAAAGGGCCCAAGTCTCATGTAGGCAGTTGCTCATTCTATTGATTTAAACAGAGTATTTTCCTCCAGTTTAGTATTAAGGTTTGGAGATCAGAAAAAAGTCTTTGTGTCATCATGACAAAACACTCGCCAACTGCAGCTGCTTCAAGAATTTATCCAAACTCCTATGGCAACATTATTCATCCTTCTCCCTCCCCCTTAGCTGGCATTCCCATCATCAAACCCAAGCAGTATTTCTGCCTTAGAGTACTGTAAATACCTTTCCCAAGATGGCTTTTATTCCCATTATTCTCTTCCCTGACAGGCTCTGCTTTGCCTGGCAAAAAGGTGCAATGTTTTGTGTTGATCTTCTTAGAATGACTTTAGCTCTCTCTGCACCTGCCTTTACTTCTTTTCTCCATGTGTTTCCTGTGCTTACAGAGCTCCATGACCTCTGACCTGTGTTCCTCAGGAGGTCACACTGGTTCCTGCTGGCCTTAAAATCTATGGATCTTGTGTTGTATTGTCTGCCGCCCAGTTGCTTATTTTCCTTCTCACTCATTCTTTTGTTTTGAGTCTTGCATTTTTCCTTACTGGTATTAATCTCCCCACTGATTTGGGTTTTTTTTTTATTCCACATCAGCAATAAATAAATACATCATTTTGTGGAAATAAGAATCTGAATTTGTGGCTTTTGTTCACTGCATCACCTTTTTCTCCTTTTATTCCCCATGTGAATATTAACAGCAGTCAGAATACCAGGAGGTTTGTCTAACTATTTGCATTTTATATCCTTTTTTTACTTCAGCCTGCACCACCAAAGTAAGTGCTAATTCACAGCCTAGGAGAAGAGGTCTAAATAAAAGAACTGAATTGTGAAAGCAGCAGAAGGGACTGGGAGGATAAACTGCCATTAGTGAGCAGAAGCTTTGTTACTCTGCTGCAGTTAGCATCACTAACAGCTGCCTATCTTTGACCAGTGACAACCACTTATATTTTTATGCAAAAGTACACTTAAAAAGCATACATTTAAACTGAGTGCTGAAAGTTTTTTGTATCTCTTAATGGATCTTTACATTAAGATCAAAGGATTCCAGCAGGGAGATTAGAGAATATTCACAGTTTTAAGATTTGGGGAGCAGAATCCTACATTTGTTAGTCATATTAAGCTATATGTTGTCAAGCTAATGCCTTTCTCATGGTGCTTATATACAATTTAAAAACTGAAAAAAGCCTCACTGGTAGATTACTTTTACATACAGCATCTGTAAGAGATAGTGGTTTTCATGTAGCACTTTGCATTTTTACCTCTTTGCTCAACTTGAATCAATTCAATTTTCTGTCACTGTATCTTAGGATTGCCTTAGGTCACGTAATCACATTACTATAATGGACCAAAATATTCCTGTCAAGTTTTGTACATTAATTTTATTAGACATCTTGCAACAAAGAAAAAATGACAAACAAACATGTAATTCAGAGGTAATTTTAACAGTCAAATACCTTTTACTTTTCAGTGAAAGTAAATGAGCACTTCCTTTGAAACAATATGCCTTCAGGTTTGTTTTGCTGCTGCAGTTGTGAGAACACTCCATTTTCTTTCTTTGTGAAACTGACTTTACAAAATACCTGTCATTCAGCAGCTCTTACCTTTTTTGACTTCCAGGCCATTGGCATGTCTTTATTCTTTCAGCCCATCAGGCTGTGATTGCTCATGCATCCTAGGGCACTGTACTAGCTCTCCGAACATCAGACCTCTCTCACTTCCCTAAACCAACTTCTGTTTAAGACACTAATCAGATCTTTGCAGAAGAGCTCTTCACACTCCAAATAGCTTGCTGACAATATGTATTAACAGGAGATACTTCTCATCCTATTCACTGGAGTTAGGAGTAACAGGTACTGTTATTCCATCTCTTCTTACAATCCAAAGAATGAAAGAGCAAGAACACCACTTGAATGCAGATAACTCTCTTAACAGTCAATGTGTCACAAATATGCTGCTAAAGTAGATTCAAACATTGTAAAATTAAAACAAATAGAAACCCTCCAGAGATTGGGATGAATATCTAAGATGCTGTTACCTGGAAAAATTGTGTTCTGCAAACAGGCTAATTGCATTTCCTGTCACATGCCAGCACATTTTTCTCTGCCTATCAGAGAGATTTGGCTGGAACTTGAATGGAATTTTCCTGAGCATTTCCAACAGCTAAGATTCCTCTTTCAACCTCTCTGAGCACCTGCTCCCTTTCTCAAATGTTAACATACATATGCCACATAAAGCAAAGCTGATGATGATTCTCAGGGCTGCTGATCTTGATTTTTTGCCTAACCTAACTAAATGTTGTTATTACACAAACAGGCATTGCTATTTCTGATAGCAAATGCTCAGCCACAGCAGTTCCAGGTTTAGGTATAAGAAGTGACTGTGAGTGTTGATGTCTGTCTGCTTCTGTCCTGCCCCGTCAAGCACGGGCAGTTACTTTAATCTTAAATTAAAACTTAAAAGCTCATACCAAGTAATCAACCTGGAATATAATTCACAATGAGCATCAGTGTGTAAGTCCTATCTACTTCCCCATTTCTTAATCTTGCAGCAGAAAATAAATATTGACAGTTATCCTTGCCTGCTACTAAGTACTTCCCTGTTCCTCACTTACCCAAACAATCTTTCCATTATCCCAGGTGCTGGACAAATGATTTATCAAAATGACAGTAGCTAAGTACTTAGTTCTAAAAGCTCACATGTTTACTTTTAAGTGATGGCAAAGAAAAAAGCATTAGCACTATAGAAGTCTTTAGAATCCAAAATCTTTGCATTCTTTGTAGAAACTCCAGTGCTTTTCCATTGCAGAGCAAGGTAGAAACTCCTCTTTATGTGGCATTACTATCTCATGGAATTGAAGAAAATGTGTCAGGCTTTCCACTGAGTTGAATTGGACAGAAGAGCCTGTTGGAAATTAATGCAAATTATTACAGACTGTAAATTAGATTAATGGAAAGCAATCACTGGCATTATTACCTAAAATGGTGCTTGCAGTTTGTCAGAACCTTGTAAACCTTAGTGATCCCTAAGAATCTGTAATGTGCTCCTGGAATATTGTGGGGTAAAACTTGTGATATCTTACCATATGTCTCACTCAGTCCCAGTCTTCAATGAGGCAAAGGCCACACTACACCTTCTTGTGCCCAGCCTGAGAAGCTAGTCATCTCAGACATTTCCAATTGTATAACAGGAAAACACAGTTGTTCTTTGGTACTGCTTGAATTTTATGTATTATGTCTACAAAGAGGCATATTCAATGTAATTGCCCAAAATAAGGAATCTCTCACAGAGAATGCCCATCCTGAAATGACTTTATAAAAAGGAAAGTGCACATCTGTACAGAAGAAACGGCAGGACAAAACTATAGGTATTTGCAGTATCTGAATATCTGCTGGACTGAATTAACCATTGCAATGCATAAATTTAAAGCACCTTTGTCAATACAAGAGAAGCTGAACTATTCTGTTAAAAATCAGTAACAAAGTAACATTGTAAAGATACACCGGTAAGAAATGTTAGAAGACAGTGATCCATAACAGCACAGAGTCCAAAAGGCACTTGGAACTGCAGATTTCAGAGTTACTTGCTTTGAAACCTCTTCCATCCCCACTTTCTCCCTTTGGTATCCTTGCAGAAAGTAATAGAGCTGCTGAGCTGCCACAACCAGCCCAACACAGAAAACTGCCAGTGAGGGCAGAACTGTCACACATAGCAGATGGTGTCAAGAGAGAGAGCTCTCATGAAAGTGGAGATGGTTTCTGTTTAAAAAAACCAATAAAAACCAACAACAAAACTGAAACAACAAACCACATCAAAATATTGTGTCCAAACAACATTCGAGTATCTCAAGAAGCAAACCAGAATACGTATTTCAGGATTATTAGATCTGTCAAGATAAATGCTTGTCAAAATGCAGAGAAAACATGTTTGAAGTGACATCAGTTGGCCATTAAGCTTGTAATTATTACTGGGCTATCATATGCCATCCAAAGAGTCTTTGTTGCCACCATTTTTCATTTGTGTTACCTACACTGATTCCAAAAAGCAAAATATACTCATTGAATAGAAAACATCATTTGTGACAGTGCTAAAACAAACAGTGTGATTTGAGTTGTAAGACCTTTCAATTCCATGACTTGGTGATAATTTCCCTGCCATTTCCTGAGTTCCAAAAGCGCACCATCCAAAGCCAGCAAAGCAGCAAATTGACATTAGAAGAGACAGGCTGGTGTTCAGAGGTGCAAATAGAGTCTTGTATGTGAGGACATGTGTTGTTCCACACCTATGACACCCACAGAAAAACTTCCGACTCCAATGAGGACAGGATTGTATTTGGTATCTTGCAAGCTCAGTGCATGTACAGTACATATAACACAGCACATAATGGAACAAAATGTATGATGTGACTTCTGGAATATATTTAAGTATCGCTGACTGCAGCAAAGGTGGGCAGGCTGCACATGAGACCCACATGAAAGGTTACATCACAACACTCCTCACACTTATGAAGCAGCAGTCACACCAGAAGAAGCCAACTTATAACTCATTTGAAAGTGGTGTTTTAAAGGGCACAAGGAATGCTTGGATTAAAAAATCGCAAAATAGTTTTAAAGACAACTTCAGGTAAAAATTATTTTAAAGTATGCCTGGGAATTTTTAGAAATAAAATAAAGTAGCAGAAATTGAAATGAAACCTTTTCATTAATGCTGAGTATACAGTGGCATGATAAGCATGGCTTCAACCTGCTCTAGTTTGTTGAAAAGATGCTTTTATTCTGTTCTGAAATGTCCACATTTTGTACACAAGCAGAGGGAAAATTCTTAGCAAAGCCCAAAGTTAATTTAACAACATGTATTAATAGATCATAATTGGAAAACGATGCTATTTTCTTACTTTGGAAATGCTCTTCTCTGCAATGATTTAACTTACTGACTAAAAATTCTCAACTCAAATGTGAAGTATAAGAAGTTTGAAGTCACCTTTTTCAGCAGCAGCTAATAGCTTTCTTTGCTGATTCCTTTGTGTCAAATTTATGTTTTACCTATTGGATTAATATTTTGTTAATTAAACATCAGTATTCCACCATAAACACTTTACCTGAGAGAATAAGTACATATCTAATCTCCATATTCTTGACTTCTCAGTAATTTTAGGTAACAGTCAACATCTAGCAAAACCACAGTAATATATACATCCTAAAGCTGCCTTCCTCAGTTCTCACACCAGTGTTAGATAAATACTGTCTATTAGATACTGTCTATATCCACAGACAGTAGGTATGAATCAGTATTTTGATCCCCATGTTTCTTCCTCTGACACCAATGATAACATCCTTAGCATTTTTCTTTCTCAAGTCTTTCTCCCCTTTTTTTCTCTCTTTGCTATACATTTAATCTTCTGATACCCACTTTGAGGCTTTCTTCCTGCTCTTTGCTGACTGTTAACTCTAATCCCATTAAAAAAGACTGGCAGTTTAGGGTGCTGTAATCAGCCAACAAGGGTTCCTATACTGTTATCCAAAACTCACTACCTCAGGTACTGAAGCAAACTTAGTAAATTTAGACACACAGGCAGGGTCTTTCTCTGCTTTTCCACCCTGGCTGTCCTATTCTGTCAGTTTTCCATCATCTTCATGAACTGTAAAACAAAGTATCAATATCAGAATGAGGATTTTTTTTCATAAATATGGGGAAAACACATGTTGTCTTTCGATAGCTTTTCCATCCTGCTTATCGACATCTCTCCTGTCTTTATATTATCTATTTTAGTCCTATAGTTTGGAAACCACTCTAAATGTTTTCAGCTTGTGTTTCCATTTTGTTGCATCTCTACCAGACCTTGTCTGCTGTGGCTGCTAAGAATGTGAAAACTATACTTAAGGAGAATTTCCATTAATGGTGCAACTACATGAATGTCAGACCATAATCTCCAGTTGCATAAAGGTTGAATTGTCACTTAAGTGCAGAGTCACCATTTTCTGATGACTAAAACAGCTCCTGAAAGATAAGGTCTTAAAAATCCCAGTAGTATCTATCTTATTTTTCCCAAGCAAGAAAGTACAGGAACTATCCAAAAACATGGTTAAGTATTTTATAACTATCTTATCGGTGTAAATTATCTTTAAAATAATTTAAATGCTCTTGAAGTATAGGCAACATATTTAAGCAAATTTACAAGCACCAGTAAATACTGTTTAAATGCTTCTAAAAAACTGGTAATGATTATTATCAGATCTGTGCTAAAGATGAACTGATTTGCAGTACCTGGCAAAGTCACAGGAGATTATGTTCTTCTGAGTCAAAAGGATCTAGTTCAGCACAGCAAGTCTAGACACAGGCTACAGATCCATAAACAAAGAGAAGATCTAAGAACAACATACTTAAGGGTGACAGCATTTGATCTAGAGTGACACAGTGGAATATTAATAGAACAAAAATTTGTCTTAAGTACTCTCAAGTTTCTTGGGCCTTATCCACACTCCCCTCAAGAACTTAGAGAAGATCAGTCACAATTCAGGGGTTCCAACAGGCATTGTCTATTCAGACCAAGTAAGGACTCAGAAATGACAGCCAGCATTTCACATAAACAACGTTTTTGGGCTTTCTGAATCTTTAAAAAAATGCTGCTACTGGATTGAGGCACAATAATTCTGCTAGTGAGTATTTTGAAAATAACTTTTCTTTCAGTTTAAGTGTTCCTATTACCTATTACATTGAGCCTGAGCACTGGAACCTGGATTAACATCAGAAATTTACTAAGCTGAAAAGTTTACTGGAGCAGTTCAATATGGTACTGGTTCATTATATTCTACAATTATTAAGGATGAAGAAGAAGTTTCAGTTAGAGGAATATGAGCTTTTGGCCAGTTGAGTCTGAAACTAATGTTTTCCTATGCCTTATTTCCCTTTAACCCAGATATGTAGTGGCCTTGTACATATAGCTCTTTTTCTTTCCTAAGATTAGAATATATCAATGGTTCCTGTTAGAGACATATCAAGAACTTATTTTACTTAGTATTTTCCTGAAGCATGAGTGAAAGCAAGTAACTGCCTTTTGTGTTCTTCCGGTTTTTTTTTAAATTCATGATCTATCAAATGGAAAGAAAAGATGGTTGAGACCTGGTATTTTGGAAAAAGAGATGTGTGTGGACAGATTGCCATTGTAAGACCAGAACTTTATCCAATAAAATATAATGCTTTCCCAGTAATTTTATAGTTCTTTCCCTCTAAATGCCTTCATTTCAGGTCTCCCCACAGTTCTTGATTCACTTCACATGATATAGATGTCAATTCTTTTTTTCGTTTGTAAATGCTGGAGTCCACATCCTCTGTCCTTATAAAGCAATCGGTAAGGAGACATCTTCTTCTAATGCACAGATCGATCGTGTCAGTCATACACCTGAAGTTAAGGCGGCACCCACAGCAGAGATTTTGACTAAGTGCATTGCAATCCTTTGTGTCTATCTTCATTGCAATGTTGAAAGTACCTCTTCCCCAAGAATTAATCTAATTAATCTATCAAGTGACCTAAATCATGCACACTGCATTTTTTGCACTGGTAATTATGAACCTTTGGAAAAAAAAAAATAATCAAAGGTTATTTATAGTATCATAATACTAAATAAATCATTTCAGTTCGGAAGCTCCTTAATGGACTATAATGACCAGATAATTCAAAGAACAGCTATAACAGTGCCAGAAGGCTATAGAGCACCTCCTGATAGTACCTTAGCCTATGCTTTTTTCTTCACATATCAGGTACAACTCATCATAGATGATCTATAGGTTCAGTTCATCATCTGCCAATAATTTAAATTTGTATAGCAATAATGTGGAATTTAATTAATACTTTCACAATTCATTATTTTATTTCATCCCTTCTAGATAAAATGGTATATTTCAGA